TAGTAGGTAAGTTGATCGTTTTATCGAATGAATTTCTTTTGCTTTCCATCTCTCCTTAAATACTAACGAATCAAATATGTTTACTCTAATTAATGTGTTTACTGTCTCTATTTCCACCCATTTTCCTCATGTTCAGAATATTAATTCCTTGCAAAAAATTCTATCTACAGTTTATTTTGTGATTAATTGTTACAATGTTTTGATCAGATTAGTCAGTTTTTCCTCGAGTTTCATTTCTTTTCACCTTGCTATAGAAACACGAGTCAAGATTTGTTTGATTTTATTTGCATTCACACCAAATTTTTTAAAAGAATAAAACAGATTATCAAAAGACACAGACTTACCTCGATAGTTTTTGACAATGACAAAATGAAAATCAAACTATTTGATAAAAACATCAGGTGTACGGAGTATTCAAAAATAGTTTAATACACAAATGATATACAAAACACTGAAATAAGTGATAGTTAAACCTGTTCATCGAGAAGTTATATGATTTAAACACGAGGGCGAAGCCCGAGTGATTACAATCATATAACTTCGAGATAAAGAGGTTTAACTGACTTAGACCAATATTTAATCTAATCTCAACACTTTTTTTAATTTTCAAGACAAAATTTTGTCGTCATTTCCCATTGCTTTCAATGGGTTTTCCTATTTTCATTTCTGGGTTCTTATCATTTTCATTTTTAATTTTGACTTTTTTATCAGGTCTAATCAGTCTCTTTATCACTGTCTTTGCACCAAACTGTGCATATTTAGTTAACTGTGCTGGTTAACTATGAAGTTAACCAATTTTAAAAACAGTGCAGATTATTCAATATAACCATTTGGGTATATACTGGTTACCTTCAAAAAAGTGGTTTAAATAAAATTAAAATTTTTCCTCGAGTTAATTTTTTGTAATTTTCCTGTGGTGCCATCTAGGTGAACTACATGAGGAAACCATTAAATTTTACAATTAAAACAATTAGCCTCTTTCATGATTCCTCCATTAGTCCTGTTAACCCTTCACCTTAGAAGACAATTATGATGTCGCCGTAAGAAAATTACAAAAACTGTACAAAGTCTTTGGATCTGTTTATTGTGATTGAATCTAGCTTAATTTTGTGAATTGCAAAACCGTAGATGATTCATTTTGAATTTATCTGCCGCTTTTGACATCAATTAGAAGTTTATTCAAAGTTATTTACACTTAAAATATATTCAATGTTTATCAAGTCAATTTTGCAACAAAACTCGACAAAAGCAAACAGCAATAGATAGTAACAATAGTATTTAAAGTACTTTAAACTTTTGATATCCATAAATTAAATTTAACTTTAATCGTTT